CATAGGCCTCGCGTGGGCAGTGGGAAGAGGAGGGCAGCAGCTTTGCAGGATATTCTCTCTCCATCCTGCATCTCTTTTGGTGTCAGGGTTGTCATTTCGCAAACTGGGCTTCGCAAGGAAAAGAACCAGGGGTGGGCATCAGCAGAGTGGGCCTTGATTCAAGTCTAGGCCCACCAGCTTCAAACCCAAGTCTTCCCCCTTCCCACAGGCTGCTTTCTGACACTCACATTCTCTGTCTAGGTCAACCCAGAACGCGATGACGCCAGGCTGAATCACTTCACGGTCTACAGTGACATCACTCTGTACAAGTCTAAAATGTGGAGCTTGGGAGAAGATGATCGCCGCAAGTAGTTTGCCAGCAGTGGTGTCTGCCCACCTTCCATGTGCAAAGTGTGTGCTGCCCAAATAAATAAAGGTCCTTCCTTGAAAGTCTAACCTTCTCCTATCCAGAGTCTCACCTTTTTCCCTTCTGCCCATGTCCACTGGTTCAAGTCCTTAACCTTATAAACTAGTCAGAGAAGTTCCATTAAAGATGGAAATCTAACTGCAAAAATATCTCCTCTGCCTCCCCAGACCCTAGTAAAGGAAATAAAGAGATACCGAAAGTATGAATCCACAGCAGAGAGAGCACACTGGTAACCAGGAACACTGATGGGGAGCTAGAACGCTGAAAGAGGGTGTAAGCCACCAGATGCAAGCTAAATGGGACACCTCTCAGCCCAGAGCCCACACCCCAGTCCTTGGACGTTTAGACAAGGCGAGTGTGAAGCAGGGCAATGACCGGGGATGTTGGTGACTCTTGGCAGCCTCTCGATAGATCTGAAATGGGGCCTGCTCGCCGGTAGGCCCACTCCACACACACCAGCATCCAGGCAGGTAACATCTCCCACGCTGGAGGGTCATTCTTAGAGAAATGGGGAACGCCCAGCGTCAGGGAACTAAGGAAAGCAGGGAGTAGGAAGGAGGTCTGAAAATCTGAGAGGGAAGGTTGAATCCCTAGCCCACACCTGTACTACATTTTTGCCAAAGGTTTGAAGCTAATGGAATCCTCTGTGGAAAAATAGAACAGCTCTAAAGAAAAGACCCCCACGCGGACCCACTTAAAGATCCTTTACAAGAGCCAGGGAACGGCCAGTCTGGGAGCACAGGGAGGACATGGAGGCTCATGCTCCCTCCCACCCTAGGCCGTAATTATGCTGCAGTTTCAGAGCGAGGCGCTGTTTCTCTGCCACGTGGCCGCTGAGCGGGTGAAACCATCTACTGCCGAAACCACTCCTGCGCTGAAAGCCTGCAAAGCTGTGAGGCCTCTCCCCGGAGACATCTTCACACAGTATCATGGACGGGGCTAATTTCTAATGCCTGTGTGGCGATCCAGAAATGGGCCAAGATCCTTTTGCTGTAAGGCAGCAATTTTCAACCTTTTTCACCTCATGGCGCACACAAACTACTAAAATTCTGCAGCACACCAAAAAAGATAATTTTTTCCAATCTGACAAAAAATAGGTATAATTTTGATTCATTCACACCAGGCAGCTATTGGTGTTGTCATTTGACCACCTAAGGGAAATAGTCAGGTATTGCATGTTTTAAAAATTCTGAAGGACACTGGTTGAAAATCTCTGCTCTAAGGGATCCATGGTCAAAGACCAGAGGGTGGCATGGTATCATAGGAAGATATTTCCTTTCTCTGGTTCATAACACAGAGCTCCTAAATCCCCAGCAGTCTCATATGTAATAGCAGTGACAGCAATGCTTTTGTTGTAATGAGTTGACTCTTGGCAGCCTCTCTCGGTAGATCTGAAATGGGGGCTGCTCACCAGTAGGACTAAGCCTTGCTTAGAACCTTGGAACTCTGTCCCACCACCAACTTCTGAGGAGAGAATAAGGGTTGAAGATTGACTTTCTCAGTAATGGTCATGATTTAATCAGTCATGCCTACATGGCGAATCCTCCATAAACCCTGCCAACTACAGGGCTTCTATGTTTGCCACTTCGTGGTGCTGGGAGGGTGGTAAGCCCAGAGAGGCATGGAAGCACCTTGCACAACCCCCAACATTTAAAAAAATGTCAAAATGCATTAAGGTCACTTTGCATGGTTCCAGCAAGTGGTCACTTTGTGGTCCTGCTTTACTGTGCAAAGTGAAGACTATGTCCTTTTAGAGAAGCCGGTGAACAAAGTAACAGTTCTCTCTCTCTCTCTCCTCTCTCTCTCTCTCTCTCTCTCGATATTGGAAAGAAGCTGAAAACAGGTGAAATGTGGCTGCTCTATTTAAACAAACACAAGTGCCATTTTGCCGCCTCTCCATCAGAGAGGATGGTTCCCACCTGGCCCCAGCTTAAAATCTATCTCTGCATCTTGGTCTTTCTTTAATTTCTTAATCCCCAGCTCCTCCACTCAGCAAATCGACTGTTTCCTTTTCCATGGGTGACATGGAAAATAGAGAAATAGCCCCCCACATTTGGTGCCCCAAACAGTGACTGAGTACGGAGGCAAGAGAAGAAAGCGAGGGGGTCACTCCCAGAAGCGTGTGCACACAGATTTAAAGGAATAAGAACAGCTCCCAGACCATGTGGATTCCTGCAACAACAGATCCCAACTGACCAGATTGCTCCAGCCACAAAGACAAGAGAGACAGTTCAGAGATGGAGATGGTGAAGACACCTTGTCATGATAGCAGTCAGCACCTGTGCATTGCTGCAGGTTGCCCAGGACCAAGAGCAAGGAAGGAGCAATGCAGCCAATTCAGGTGCCAGTGCGTTACATCCGTCACCACAATGGCCTCAGACAAGCTCCTGTGCCCATTCACTCAAAAGGACTAAGTACTGCCCTAATGACAGCAAAAGGGAAGAAAAAGAAAACTGAAAGACGCAAGGGACTGCTGCGCCAATATGGAGTCATCTGAAGAAGTTAACGACTGAAGCGCAACAGATTGTGGAAAAGCAAGAAGTTGAAGCTACTTCTTCAACCATGTTCCTGATCATGCTAGTATCTGTTAGCTGCCAGTCTTCTGCAAAGTCTTGCGCAGCCAAGTCCAAGGACTCTGAGTAAATATACACCAGCAGCAAAAGAGACTTTTTCACTTAGTAGCAAAAAATGTTAATATGCCCATAGTTCTGATTTCTCATATTGTTGTTTTGCATTGGCATTGTTTTGCTATTAATAGCCAGTTTTGTTCTTAATGTTCAAATTTTGAAAATCATATGATAACATGTATGTAGTTTAGTTTTTGCATTTGCATTGTTTGCAATTGTTTTAATTCTAGAGCCCTACTATTAATGTTTAAAATTTTACTTTTATTATAGAAGCTTAAAACACAAAAACGGGGGAGA